AACGCGCTCTCGTGTCTTTTCCGCTCGGTGCCTTCGCCTGTGCGTTACCTTCCCTCTGTCTCTCCTTGCCCGGCAGATTATCAAAGCGAGTATTACGGCCCTGGAAGCAATTACGATTTCTTCCCGCAAGGACCTCCTTCATCTCAAGCTCAGACCCCCGTGGATCTCCCTTTCGTGCCCTCCTCGGGGCCGTCAGGCACTCCCCTGGGGGCCATGGATCACCCCCTGCCCGGACATCACCCCTCCAGTGAGGCTCAGCGCTTCACTGACATCATGTCACACCCCCCTGGAGACTCGCCCAGCCCCGAACCCAACCTGCCCGGGTCCTTGCACTCCATGTCCGCGGAAGTTTTTGGTCCCAGTCCTCCATTTTCTTCGATATCCGTCAACGGTGGTGCTAACTATGGCAATCACTTGTCCCATCCACCAGAAATGAATGAAGCAGCTGTGTGGTAGCTTTAAAACGAACTGGGTCTAAGTAAGTGATGATCATCTAGTCTGCTTATTGTTATGGTGTACAGAAATGAATAAATATAACATCTCTCCTGCCCTAAGACAATATTACCTTGGGAACGAACTGAATCCAAACCGCTCCAAGGCAAGCTTTGCTCTAGACCAGGACAATCTTCGTGTTATGGTTGTATCAAACAAGCAAGGGGACTTTTTTGTACCATTGACAAAGAAACTGGTGAAGCTGTACAGTAAAGTGCTGCCATACCGTAGGATGGCGTGAGTTTGATTACCCTGTTGGATGTCATCCTAAGAGCCACAATCCTTAGAAACTTCTCGTTTTAAAAAAAAAAAAAAAAAAAAAAAAAGATTGAATGAAGGAAAAGTCAAAGAAAAGGGGGAAAAAAAGCTTCAAGAACTCTAGCGTTCCCGGTTAAGGATGGTTCTGGCATTATGAATTTGTTTGTTAATTTTTGTCTCTCAGAAAGTTCAACAACAAGAAACTCTTTTTAGCTTCAGCCATTTCAGCCTGCTGACTATCAGGTGGGACAACTTTTCTTTTTCCTTTGTTTCTGTTTTGTTTTCCAAAATAGCAAATACTAAATGTTAAGCCCTCAGCACCAACTCTTCTACCTTCACAAAGCTACACGTACAAAACCTCCTCATCATAGCAAAGGTCACCACCCAGACCTCTAACGAAAATGACTTGAAAAGAACAAACAAACAAAAAGTATTCTACCTTCACAGAGAGAGAAAAGCTAAACAAAAAGACTCTATTGAACTAAAAACAGTCAACTGTTTACGTCTAATGTTAAATTCAGGAGTTCAATGTTTTACTAATAAATCCTGTTTTAGAACCTCTTGTTCAAAAGCAAAATATTTTGAGCAACCAACCAAAATAGTTCGTTTTCTTTTCTGTAGATGTTATAACAGATTGCAGGGCTTGTGGTTCACTGTGCTAGTTTGTAAAAGGTGTTGTTTACAGAAGGCAAAGAAAAAAAACCCCATGAAACCCAGACAGTTGCCAAATAAAGTAAATATATAGCACAAATACTGTAAGGTGCTTTGCACCAGCAACCCGAGAAGGTGTTTAAAAAGTGTTACAAGGTTAAAACAAACAAACAAACAAACATCTTTGCTAATTTTTAGTCCTGTTGAACATTCATGGAATTGTTAATATGACTTATATAGACCCACACAGGTTTTATTTTTGTGTCTTTAAAATAAAAGTCCAAAATATTTAAATTTTATGGTCAAATATGCAGTCAACAGCTGCTACTTTTTTCTTTATATATTAAATTTCTCATATGTCTTTTATTGTTCTAATAAACCTAAGCTTGTGTGACCTCCAGTGCATATTAGACCATTCACTGTATGAAAGAAAACATGTTGGATAAAATTTGTGCGTTTTTAATAAAATTAGAAAATCTGATGTTTAGATAACTTGTGTTTCATTTGATGTTTTGAGCCATTTTAAATGGATTCTCTGGAGTAAAACAGCCCTGAGAAAGAACGATCCACTCTGCTGATAATCCTTGTAGAGCTCTTTTGCTTTGCTAGAAGTCTAACCCCGGTGTCGCCGCGGATGCCGTCCGTGGCAGCTCCAGCCTTTCTTTGCGGCCTCAGTAGTCGAAGTACAAATAATAACGTACGCTGCACGTTAATTTGCAAAATTGGAAACTAATCAAACTGTTAAACAGATTATTAACCTGTTCTTGGTCTGTGCTAAGAGAAAAACATAGGCATGCATAAACAAAAATGTATTGTAAATGTAAAAAACCTGCAAAGATTTGGTTTTTAATTGATCCCTTTTCAGTTAAATTAATTCTCCAAAGGTAATTTTTCTTTTTTTTTTTTTTTCCCCCCTGATTGGATGGTTTTGAACACAGCGTAACCTCAATGTCGCGAAAGTCATTTTAATCCTTTTTTAGAGCTGATACAAAGTCAATTGTGTAATAGCTTTTGGTATATATGAAGTTCTCTAAAGGGCAGCAGGGGAGAATATTTTGCTTTGCACTAGATACATACTAATTTTCTTGGAGAAAAATGAAACAAAACAAAAAATCTTTGGAACCTTGTGAAATGAGACATTTAATATTTTAATTATAAATGATTGCAGAACCCCAAATATTCAGTTCTTCAAAAGCAAAAGCCTCACTGATTCTGAGAGGACTTTGACCTGTGTTAGAAGCAAATAATTAGGTTTGGTTCTGAAAAGTCACTGGTTTAAATGTTTTCCACCTGCTGAGCTAATAGAATGGGATGAACTACAATTGCATGTTTTCCTTCGTCTCTCAACTAATCGTGACTCTGGCTTCTTTTTTATTTTACATAGACACAGAAATTTATGCTAAAACATAGACTTCTACATCCCCAGTGATTCAATTATTTATCTCGTTGGACTGAGGAGGAGCAGGGGGAAATACCAAAATGCTTTAAAATTGTATGATTTGTAATTTTCGACGGTGATTTTTTAATTTTGCTCACAACCTCGTTTCTATGCCCAGCAGAGGGGCCACCTAGATGAAGCAATAGTTCACTTTAAACACAAAATGTCTTATATAATAATATAAAGAGAAAAGCTATCTGCAAGGGATCTGTTAGTGTTTCTAAAAAAAAAAAAAATCATGCTTTATTAAATACAGGGGAGACTTCTTAAACTCATGGACTCCGTGTCTAACTCATTTATTTGTCTTTCTTATTGTCGCTGTGTTTTGTGGCTCCTGTTTTGCATTTATATAAGCAGAGCAATGGGTGATCTATTTATTACAAACTTTTACTTATCTGGGCAAGTGCTATTGATAAATACTGCTGTTTGCGCTCCTGGTCTATGCTGCTGTTTTATTGTTGAATCAATTATTTTAAATGAGAATTTCACCAAATAGGCTTATTTTGTAGAAAAGATGTCTGCCAAGTGGTTTTTCTTTTTCTTTCATTTTTTTTCCTTTTTTTTTTTTGTTGGTGGTGTTGTTGTAGCACTGTACAGTTTATTCCATGTTAATTTAGGCAGCGATGTGATACGGTTCAGTTTAGGTCAGTGGCTTGTAAAAGGGAGGGAGGAGAGCCTGTATTTTTTCCAAAGCTCCCACCCCTTCCGTCGGGGTTTTGCCCATCTTCGGGGGGGAGCCCAGGCGCCGTTCCCATGCTTATGGCTGAGCGTGTCCTTCAGTGCTTCCCGGGATCTGCTCTGGAGGCCCCAGCACTTTGCAGATTTGAATTCTGTGCTCTTCAGAGCGAGCTCGGTGTTTCTGAAGACCCTAATCCAGCAACAATTGCACAGTCAAAACTCCTTTTGAAATCATTGTCACGTTGGGTTCTTGTAAGTCCTTGTTTACAAGAGCATTTCCATTGACTTCAGGAGCATTACTTGGGTGAATAGAGGTCTGCAGGAGAAGGGCCTCGAAAATCTGTGCTGCTTGGATGGATTTTGCATGTGTGTGTTAATTTTTTAACTGCAGAAACGTGGCCGCGACGTGCGTGCAACTACACGTATGTGCAATGTAATTCCCAAAGCCTTTTTCAGAAGTAATTACTCTCTTTTGATCTTTCCTTCCTTGAGCGCTGCTGCTTTCGGTGACCTTCACCTTGTTGCTGTGTCCCAGCAGAAGGTGCCACCTGGTGACGTGAAACCCCGCGTCTGTTCGCCCGGTTTCGGATGGCACCCG